TTTAGAGTTTATACGCTAAATTTATAGATTTATAAATAAATTAAAATCAGATATAAAATCTGAGAATAGATTTTATAGATTTTTAATATGAAATCTTATTGAGATTTGTCTTATTTCAATGATCAAATCAAACAGATTTTTGATTTATTTAGAATTTTTCTAAGATATTTTGTTAATTAATCATTATATAATCTTTAAAAAGTTTAGAAAATCAAATTTGATCAATTAAGATTTAACATAGAATTGAAAATAATCTTTGAAATTGTTTAAATATCCACTGTAAAGTAAAGATTTCTGACTATATCAAAAATTATTTTTACAAACTTTAAATTATATGTAGAATAATTTTCAATCATGAGATTTTTTATTAACATTAAAAAAAATTAATACAAAGTTATCTAAAAATACTTTAAAAATTGTTAAATTAAATATGAAAAAAATCTTCTTGGTCGATTCCCAATCATGAAACAATGTTTCTAGATCAGAAATCGACCAAGAAAATTTTTTTTTAAATTTATTAAATTTAATAAAAAAATACATAAATCTATTTTATTTTAACTGAATTTATAAATTCTGAAAATTGACATTCAACTAAATCTAAATGAGTGTTAAACAATTCTTTTTTTACTTGAACTTCTACTTGTTGAGTCAACAATTGGATGTTCATTTTATAAACAGTTCCAGTTCAAAAAACATAAATACCAAACAAAAATAAAAGAATAAAAAATATTATAATAAATATAATAATTAAATATTTAAAATATTTCTTATAAGAGACTAAATATTAAAAATAATTGTTAATAATAGTTTACAAAATTTATAAAATATAAGATACTGACCAATTGTTTCTTCTAATTTTTTAATTCGTTCATGAAGTGATATATTTTGAGCAATATAATCACTTAATCAATCAGTACTAATAGAAACATTTTGTGTTTCGATTTCTGATCTAGAAACATTGTTTTCTGTATTTTCAGAAATTTCAATAGATATTTTTTGAATAATTTAAAGAAAAATTTTGAATCATTATCAAATTTATACCTGGAGCTTGTGAAATAGCTTCTAAATAACTTGGTGGAGGTTCATCTGTAAAACGTTCAACACTAGAATTAATAGAGAAATTTTCAACTTGTATACTGCTAGATCTACTGAATGTTTGTAATATTCTTTCAATATTTTCCAAAAAGTACTGCATGATAATTGTAACGAAGATGATTAAGTAAAGTGCAACAAAAAACATTTAAGATTTTTTATATGAATTTGAGAATTTTTTTGTAAATTTTGATGTTTGTCGAACAAAAAAACCTAAATTTTTATAGATTTGTTTAACGAATTTGAATCAAACTATATTCATATTGTTCATTTTATGTAAATAATTAAAGCCTGCAGCTTTTCATATAGCTTGCATATTATATGTAATTATTAACTTATATTGTTTCAGTTATAGATGATTAATTCTAAATTTGAAATCATAATCTTATTTACGCTTAA